ACCGGTCGTCGCGCTGTGCGAAGGCTGCGAGGAGGAGGACTTCCCACGAGGCGTTGGGTGCGCGTCGTGGTGCGGGTTCGTCCCGGAGGCGGTGCACGGCGTCGTGCCGCCGTGCGCGCGCTGCGGCGGCGGCGACGACGACGACGACGACGACGACGGTGCCCTGAAGTAGTGACGCGACGCGAAGGACGAAGAAGAAGAAGAAGAAGAAGAAGAAGACGCGACGACGACGAGTGCGAGACGTTCCGAGAACGAACAGAACTACGGCGACCCCGCCCTACCAAAACTCCTCCTTACGCGACGACGACGCCCCCGAGCCTTCTCGCGAACTTCTCCGGGTCGTCGATGCGCACGCGCAACCACCCGTCGTCGTCGTCGTCGTCATCGCCCCCCTCCCCCTCCCCCGCGAAAGCCCCCTCTCCACCCCGATTGATCCAGGGCGTCGCGCTCGGCGGGAGCGATATCTCCACCGCCGCGAGGAACAGTCCGTCGCGGTCGTCCAACCCGCCGAACGCGTCGTCGCTCTTTTTGGTATACCTAAAATCCCCGACGATCGGACACCTCAAGCTCTCCGCCGCGTGCCTCCTGAGCTGATGCGTGCGGCCCGTCTCCGGGGCGAAGTCCATCAACGTCACGCGCCCGTGCCTCGAGCACGGCGCGACGCGGTCGACGCGCCACCGCGTGACGCACGGCTTCCCCTCCAACGGCGCGTCCGCGACGCCTTCGCTTCCGGACTCCCAGCCGCCCGCCGCGCCCGCGAGCACGGCTCGGTATCGCTTCTTCGGCTCGCGCCGCGCGAACGCGACCGACAGCGACGTCATCGCGAGTCGCGTCTTCGCGCACACGAGCAGACCGGACGTCGCGGCGTCCAGCCGATGCACCGGACGCGGGCGACTCAGCGCCCCCTCGACGCGACGCGTCTCCCGAAGGTAATACGGCAGCGCGCGCTCCGCGTTCCACGCGCCGTCCCCCACGCTCGGCATCCCCTCCGGCTTGACGATCACCGCCATGTGATTGTCCTCGTACGCGATCTCGAGCCGCGGGAGGTCGCTCGGGAGGTCGCGGACGTCGAGCGCGTCGCCGCTCGAGACGCGCGCGACGACGGAGACGGCGGCGCCGGCGGCGACGCGGTAGTCGCCCTTTCGCGGGACGCCGTCCACCCTGAGCTCGCCTCTCCGGACCGCCTTCCTCGCCGCGGTGAGCGTCGGGTATCGCTCCGGGAACGCCGCGAGCGTCGCCTTGGCGAGGTTCCACCTCCCGTCGTCCGGCGCGACGTCGAGCTCGGCGTCGGCGTCGGCGTCGTCGTCCGGGAGCGGCGGGACGATCCCGGTCGCGACCGTCGCGAACCGCGCCGACGCGGAGCTCGACGCCATCGCCTCGACGCGCGCGCTCGCGCGCGTCGACGTGGACGGTACGCGCGCGGTGCGGCGCGGCGGCGCGGGGGTCGGCGTCGGCGCGACGCGCGACATGCCCCGCCCGGGCGCCGGGACGATGTGACGTCCCGTTACTGATATGAGGTGCGTTCTATACAAAAGTTTTTCACCCATCGCCCGGTTTCAACGTTTGATCGCGTCCCCTTTCAACTGGCCGGTGAACTATTTTTGTATGGAACGCGCCTGATTCTCGTCGAAGCACACTGGACAATCGATCTCGCGCCAGCAGAATTGTGGCGCGCGCGCCGATCGCCATGGGGGCGCCCGCTCCCGCGTCGACCCCCGGGGCCGCGCCGCTGATCGACCTCTCCGTGCTCGACCCCGCGATGCGCTTCGCGGGCGACGCGTCGTACCGCGCGATTCGCGCGCTCGCGCCGATCGCGCGGGACGCGTACGACACCTGGTGCGTCCTCGTCCTGGGGACGTGCGTCGGGCTCGTCCTCGGCGTGCTCTTCGTCCGAAGCGCTCGCCTCGCGCGCGAGGCGAGGGCGAAGGCGACGGCGGCGGCCAAGAAGCTGAAGGCTTCCGCGGAGAAGCTGACGGCTTCCGCGAAGAAGCTGAAGGAGCTGAAGAAGAAGAACACCGGCGGCGGCGACGACGGCGACGGCGACGGCGGCGACGAGAAAACCTACGCCGGACTCCCAGAAGAGGTGATGAAAGTCGCCCTGCAGCACCTCCCGAAGTGGACGAAACAGCCGGACCACTCGCGCACGGCGTGGCTGAACAAGTCCATCGACTGCTTCTGGCCCGGACTGGACACCGCGGCGTCGCAGTGCATCCGCGACAGCGTCGAGCCCATGCTCCGAACGATGATGCCGTCCTTCGTGAACTGGATCGGATTCGAGAAGATCACGCTCGGGCCGACGCCGCTCGTCGTCGGCGGCGCGAAGACGCACGGCTCCAACAGCGAAGACGCCATGCTCGAGCTCGAGATCGCGTGGACGTCCGGCGTGGACGTGATCCTATCCGCGTACGTCTTCGGCGTTCGAATACCGATCCGCCTCCACGACGTGCAGCTGAAGACGACTGTACGGTTGGACTTCAACCCGCTCGTGGACGAGCTCCCGTGCCTGGGCGCGGTGGACGTATCCTTGCTCGACGAGCTCGCGCTCCTGGACTTTGGGCTGACGATCCCGCCCGGGATCGACCTCATGGCGCTGCCCGGGGTGCAGCAGCTCGTGAAGCACGTCGTCCGCGGGAGCTTGAAGACGATGACGTACCCGGAGAAGATGTCGTGTCCGATCATGACGAACAGCGGGCACGAGCCCAGGGCGACGGGGATGATCAAGCTCACGGCGAGAGGCGGGAAAAACTTCGAGAAGATGGTCGGGTACAAGAAGGGGATGTTCGGCGGCGAGCAGTACGTCGTGCAGGTGTCTACCAGGGAGCGGCGGAAGATTCGGCTGTCGCGGAAGCACGGGAACGACCCGGTGTGGGGCGAGCTCAACTACTTCCTCGCGCACGAGGACACCGTGCTCGCGGTGGTGCTTTACGACAAGGGCATGCGCGTCGTCGGGAGGTGCGAGTGCGCGCTCGGACCGCTCGTGACCGAGGACGCGGCCGGCGAGTCGCGGTTGCTCTGCCTCCCGATCGAGCCGCCGGAGGCGTACGAGTGCGAGCCGCCGAAGCGGAGGCAGCCGGATCCGGACGCGAAGGACCCGGCGGCGGATTGGCAAGCGATCAAGACCGAGTTTGAGCTCGCGACGCAGACGCACGCGATGAAAGCCGCGGAGTTGAGATCGAAGACGCTCGTGAGGGCGCTCAAGGGGGACGAGAACGAGATGCGGGACGTGCCGACGCTTCAGTGCGAGCTCGAGTACGTGTCGTTTCGAAGCCCGGAGTTTGGATCGTTTCGAACCGCGTTCGCGGGCGTTAATCGCGCAACCCCGAAGGGCATCCTCACCGTCTACGTCGACCGCGCGAGCTCGGCGACGGATGAAAACAACCGCGTCCTTCGACCGGTCGCGACGTGCTCGGTCGCGGGGCAGTCATACACGACCGCGGCGCCGAAGATGATGACGTCCACGCCGCGGTGGGGGGAGACGTTTTTGTTTTTCAACGTCTCCGTGGAGGAGAAGCTGACGGTGACGCTGAGCGGCGCGGAGGCCAAGTCGTCCAAGCGCGGGGGGGAGTTCATGGGCGAGTTCACCGTCCCGGTGCGGGAGATCGCGATGGATCACGAGGTGTACGACGGGTATGAGCTGACGGGGTTGAAGAACAACGGGCAGGTGTTCTGCCGCCTGAAGTTCACGTTCATGCAAGGGTGACGTAGTTAGTAGTCCGCCCATCTTCGGTAAATAAAACTCGTCGACGCCGCGACGACGACGACGACGACGACCCCCCTCGCGTCTTCTGTCGTTCTTCTCTCATCACTGCACGGAGTGATTCCACTCGTCGTCGTGCGCGGTCGGGGACATGTCCGCGAACGGCTCGACGAACTTCCCCTTCTGCGGCGGCGTCACGCGTCTCCGCCGACGCGTCTCGCGGTCCTTCAGATTGCGCAGCTGCGCTCTCACCGCCCACTCCGCCTCTCGCGATCGCTGCCACGCGTCCTCCTCCGCTTCGAACGACGACTGCTCCGGCTCCGGCTCTCCGGCTCTCCCTCTCCCGCCGCTCGCCTCCTCCTCCGCGGGCGTCGCCGCGGGCGCCGCGCCCGCCTCGCCGACGTTCGTCGTCGCTCTCCTCACGACGCGCCGCCGCCGCACGTTCACCGTCGCGTCGCCTCGCTCCACCTCGCGCATCTCGCGCAGCTGCGTCAT